GGTTGGCGCAGGATAGAGGGTTTAGAGCTGTTGTGCATAGGGTCACTATGAGTCAGAACGACTCGATGGCACATAACAACAACAACAACAATTTTTAAAAAGTATGTCTAATCTGTTTATTCCAACCAATATACTTTTGCATTTGGATTTTTTTACCAGTTAGGATATAATTTTGGGACTTTTAAAGTTTTCTCTAATTAGAGCACTCTGATCGCCTAGTGTTAAGAAGCTGCACTGCAATCCCAAAGCATCGTGGTTTGAATCCATCAGCTGTTCTACGGGAGGATGGGCAGCCTACCTTTGTGCAATTTACTACCTCTAAAAACCCTCTCGAGGGTGAACTGTGGGGTGGGTTATAAATCAACAATATACAACAACAGATCTACTTAGCATATTCAATTAAATTTTTAAATATGGAATATATATATTTACAATGTCTTAATACACTTGTTCTCTAATTGTCATCTTGATAATTTCTGGATTTCAGTTCATTTTTCCACTTCATACGAAATCTCATTTTCCTGCTGCTTTGTCCATCAGGTAATCTCAGTCATCTGATTTTGTGTTGTGAGGTGAAAGAGATCTGGTGGCTCTGTGATAGAAGCCCTTACCAAGCTGCTACCTGGCAGGCTGGTAATCTGCACCCACCAGCTACTCTACAGGACAAAGCTGAAGGAGCGTGCGGCATAAAATTTTATCTAGATTTGGAAACTATGGGCTAGTTCTGCTTTCCCCTAGAGGGTCTGAGTCGGAATCCACTTGCTGGAAGTGAAGTTTGCTGGAAATGTTTTGCACTCAAGTATTTTTGAGCTTTGTTCTGATACAGAGGAACTTGAAAATATTTCAGTACTTCCTAGGCTTGTTGCTTATCTTTTAAAGTTGTTTAATACCATCCAGTGGGATCAGGCCCATAGTGGACCCTTCAGCAGGTTTTCTGAGGCAGTAAATCACCTGGGAGGAGACTGCCCAGCCTTCTCCCGTGAAGCAGCTGTTGGGAGTGAAACAATGAAGCTTTGCATTGGCAGCACCCTTACTTAACACAGATGCACCAGAGCTTCTTTTTGAAGTAAGAAGTCTTTAACTGGGGCTAATCTGACCTCAGTACTGAGGCCAAAAAGCCTTTCAAACATTTCATGTGCTACCAGGTAGCAGCACTCTGTTGGGAATGCCAACTCTTCCCAGCCCTGACAGCTCCGATAATTCATCTGTTCTTTTCCAGTTTTATTTCACCTGGCCTCAGGTAAATTCACAAGCATTCATTGATCATAGTTGAAGATGTGGGGTGAACCCTCTGTAAATCTTTCTTTCTAGTTGTAGGAGAAAGATGATGCAGGCTGTCATGGAACCGCTCTGGGGTGAGCCTTACTCTGACCCTTTGGCTTCTTTCCATTCCTGTCACAACCCTCAAGTAGATCTGGCACACGCTGATCGTCTGTGGGTTTCTGAGGCTCTACAGAGGACACTGCTTCATATTTCTTCAATGGAGTGGATGGTGGATTTGAACCATCAACTTCTCAATTAGCAGCCAAATGCAAAGCACACTGTGCCACCTGGGCTCCTTCTCGTGTCCCTGTGAGTCACCATTCAGTGACACTGGGCTTAGTTTTTCTTTCTCACCCACCCTTTGCCCTGTGAACTCGAGCTGTCTAGGTCTCTCAGAATTCTGTATCCTCACCTCAAAGAGATACATAGCTGTCTTTCCACTTTGCTGTGTGATTTGCAAACTTCCTCCACGTAGGAAGCAGAGTTAAAGGATCAACCCCATTTGGCTCCTTTTCCTCAAGCAAGCTCCATTTCCATCAAGCACCTATGTGCTCTTCTAATGTCTGAAACTAACGGTTTTCATTTTTTTGGATCTGATTTTTTGTTATTTAAGACTTGGGGAAAACAAGTCCCTGTTGTCCCATCTCTTTTCTAATGAGTAATCAGTAAACACATGCATATATTGAAGCAGACCCCGTGCCTCAGCTTGAGGTAACTGATCCCACCCAGCCTGAAGTCACAAAATCCTGCCACCTCAGTGAATTTGCATTTTTAACACAACTCACCAGGACAGAGACTCTTGACTCCTATGAAGTGAAGAAGGCTTATAGAACCTCAAGTGCTACTCCATACTTTACAAGTTTGTCTAAAAAGGGAAGTTATGCTAAATTTACAGTTGTAAATGAAGAAAATCCACACTATCTCAGAATAGAAACTTAACAGTTTAGAATCTGCAAACTCTTTGCCTGGATTTTGGATAAACTCTATCTTAACTCCCCTCTATTTCACAGCAGGTCACATCCCCAGAAAGCAATCCAGAGTTTGGCCTCCTCAGCCTGAGGTTCCTGCCCATTCACTGGTGGGGCCCTGCTTCCTTTGAGGGGTTCACTGAGCAGGGCCTGGGCAAAAGCATTGAGGAAGGTGGAGTAGATTCTGGATTGTCTGTCCCCCTTGTTTACTAGAAAACTCATCACAACAAAACAAAGTGCTTGGCTGTTGTGGTGCATTGTCATGCTACAAAAAATTCTTCCTGGTACTAAATTGTTTGTCTTTGTTAGGTGCCATCAAGGCGGGTACCACTCCTAACGACCCTATGAACAACAGATCTGAACTCTCTTACCCAGTGCCATCCTCACACTTCCTGACATACTTGAGCCCATTGCTGCAGTCACTTTGTCAATCCATCTGACTGAGGGTCTTCCTCTCTTTCACCAACCCTCCACCTTTCCAAGCATAATGTCCCTCTCTAAGGAATAGCCTCTCCTAACATGTCCACATTATGTGAGAATGAGCTTTGTTTGGCTAGACTGGCTCTCAGGACTTAACCTGCTAGTTCTTTTGGCAGTCCATGGGCTAGTTAGTACTGTTCTCCCATTTGTTCCTTATTCTCCAGGGAGACCAGGAAAGGGCTTTGCAGCAAAGTGACTTTAACTTCACAACAGACTATCATTTTGTGTATATTGTAGATTTTGCCATGCCATGAGCTAGAAAGATTCTTGAGCTAATAATAAGCAAAGCAAAATACTCAGCCTGAATCCTTTAGTGGTCATGATGCATATATTTATCTAAGAGGGGAAATGGTAGCAATCAAGGGGGCTGCATTTTCAGAATGCCTTTTACAAAAGTAATTTTTTTTTAAAAAAAATCAGAGACTATAGGTGAGAAAGGGAGGAAGACTATTAGAAAAGGCTTTTTTTCTAGTTTGTGTGCAGTTGGGACCTTTGGTTTCTAGTAGAGTGCTGTGACTGTTCCAGCCATCCTCAGTGATGGCTTCCAGCCTGCTAGCTCTGTGGTGTGACAGGCAGGTGGTCTGGTTCTGCCCATTTCCTGACTCTGCAAGACTTCCAATTGTGAATGATGGCTACCACCACCTCCTACCTGAGGTAATATTTACACAGATCTACTGTTACTGCATTGTAATAACTTGTGAGTAGAATGGTTTATAGAGTCTTTCCATACATTAGCTAATTTTTTATCAAACACTGAGTTGAGAAGGTGCCACAGCTTTCTCGTAGATGATTAGTGGATAAAGGTTAAGTAACGTGGTGTTTCTTGCAGTGTAAAGACTCAAGCAAACCTGCTCCAGCTTCTAATTACAAGTCCAGTGTCCTTCTGTCTAGAAAGTGCTGGCTTCTCGCAGGAATGGTGTGAGACATCAGGATCAGCCCTAAGGCTAGTGCATTAACACTCTTTCCCTGCTCTGCTTCACTCAGCATCCACGGGACCTAGGTGTGTCTCCATGCAGCTTAGTGTTAGGTTTTCCCATAAAGATAGCTGACCTGTCTGGTATCTAACATGGTTATGAGAATGTTGCTTGTGGTTTTTTCTCACTGCTCCACTGAACTGCCTAGTATCATTTGGTAGTTACTTTTCTGACTGCTCCAAAGAAGTGCTCAGGAATGTTCTTGGGGGATTCGTTTCCATGTCTTTAATTCTGGAAGGGTGACCTGACTGTATAGTGAGTGCCACTCTGAAGCTAGTAGACTAAGAGTGTCAAAACTTCCAAAATAACTATGAAGGTTTAAACTGCACATGAAGAAAATCTAGAACTGTTTTTAACACTAAAATCCGAGTCGACCTATCAGAAAAGGCACTTAGTTCATGTGTTGTTTGACCCTTTGGCGTCTTGTTGCGGAGTGCTGTGACTGTTCCAGCTGTTTTCAGTGATGCCTCGGTGGCATGAAAGGCCTTTGGGTTAGTACTCCCCACTGACTATGCAGCAGATATCCACATAACAAAGAATTTAAACACTGTGTAAACCAGAGCTATGCTGGCTTAGATAGAGCATATGTACAAGGCTATTACATGAAGATCAGGCAAGAGAACTGTGTGGGGTTCAGTTGTTTCTAAGTGAGGGCAAATTTATAGAACATTAACTTCCAAAAGTTCAACCTCAACATTCTTAACCTGAGGGTTACTGTATTTGTAATGACTGATAGTACTTTTTAGACTACAAGTTATTAAATATAAGTAATATTCCTATTCAATTATATAAAACTTAAGAGCCAGCAGAATAGATTAACAGTTTTTAAGTTTGATGTGACCCCAAATTAACTAGAAATAAGAGAAGTACACTTATTTCACTTTTAAGTAAAGTTTATCTCCCCCAATTCTTCACAAAGGGTTTGCTGTGAGCCTTCAAGTCATCTTGTCCAATCCAAAGGCTATATTTAAGCGCCATGGATCCCTACCAGGGATGCAAGAATCTGACTTTCTCAAACAGATAACAACAGTTGAAGAATTGGAACCAAAAGCAAACAACTGTACCAAGGTATTCATTTTACTCATCTGCTTGATCTTGCTGAGTTCAACATTAAGAATGTGGCTACCCAAAATATTTCTCTCTCTTTAGGTTCTTGTATGGCACACTCGGACAGAGAAGGTTAACCTAGCGAACGAGCCAAAGCACCACCTGGATACAGTGAGAATTGAGGTATAAGTTGAAGTAGCACCAGGTGCAGCACGCCTGGCCAGTGGATGTGGGCGAGGACGTGTGGAGGTTAGGCTGCAGAGCATTCAGGTATTGTTCATTTCACTTCAGTACAACAGCCTTTATTGTCATCTGATGGACATCTGTACAAACAGTGTTATCAGTTAACATAAGGTAACTGGATGGTAGAAGATGTATGTTTTGTCTTCATTTCTTAGGCCTGTGCTTCCACAACCAAACAGCTTTGTACAGTATAGCTAACTGACACTGCAGGATACCATTCTGAATACCTTACATATTCCCCACCACTCTTACCCCCAGTTTGACCTAATAGAACGGAAAAGTGGAAACAGATATTTTGCCAACTGAATGTTGCCAGTTCCTGACTGTCCAACATTAAGTAGTTTTTGGAAGATTGGTGGCAGGCAGTATGCATCATAGGAAATACAGTGCACCCAAAAAAAGGGTCTATGGATTTATCTATCTGTTTAATATAGGGAAGTAACATTTTGTCAATACTAGGCACCATAAAATGTAAACACAATTACTGTCATAAACCTGGATATACCTTCAAGAACTGAAAGTGGCTTTGCTGTAGTTACCCTGTTTGCATATAGTGCAGAGAAAGGTCTTCATGTTAGCACTATGTTCATAAGAAGAGATCCAAATTATAAGAGAGGCAGATAAAATTTGAAATCTTTCTTCAAACATTTGTTAAACTAAATTTACAGTAACATCCAGGTTTATCTTCTTTTCACTAACCACATTCCCTGTTAAGCACATCATTACAACAGCACAGTTAATGATGAAATAAAGAATTTTGATACACTAGAAAACAGTGCTCAGTGATACATTTACATTCTATTTATATGATTAAACATTTGATCATATAGTATCTTCCTACAGGATTACTGGCTAATTTAGGGGCAGGGTTTATACTGTTAGAGGTATTACTAACATGATAACTATTTCCCTTATATGCAAACATTATAGCTCTAATTATACTGAGAGTGAAAGTGATTACTCAAAGTTGACTGAGCAGCTTCTCAAAGAGTATGGTTTATGAAATCATGGGAAATGTGAGCAAAGCGGCCCCTGACATAAAATGGTTTCTCAGCCTGCTTTTCACCACGTCAAATTAAATCAGTACAGACCAACACGGTCCATCAGATAATTCTTAAAATGAACAAATGGGAGGAAAGAAAAATATGTACATGGACAAACAGGGGAACTATAGATGCGTTTTAGCAAGGAATGTCAGGTGGTAGTTCTAGATGAAACTTGTATTGCATTTTTCATTTCCAAAGTTGTGTGCTGAGAGTCTGACCCGAGGAGCTTCCGGACCATCCTGCTGTTGTGCTGGGGGGCTGGCCAAAAGCCACCGTGGGGTCTGCACTATTGATACTCATGCCCGCCATTTGCTGATTCATCTGTGAAACACAAAAAAGGCTTAGTTGAAGAGGTATACTTCACTCTTAATTCTTATTTCTTTAGGTACAGTACAGTTAGACATTGTGTATGTAGGTTTTCTTATCTTAATAGCAGCTATATTTCACAGAAATTCATTTAGTCAGAGAGATAACTGAAGTTTTTATCAATGTGAAAATTAGTCAAAGCACTAGGGTAAAATCAGACTACCCTACAATTATTTTTTACAGGAAGCAAATTGCTCCTTTTGACTTTTTATTTTCTTCTACTTTTTTAGCACTATTGTAAAGTGATCTCAATTATATGATAATTCACTTTTTCTAGGCTCAATTTCTTGTCTCCAAAGAAATCTTTCCATAAAAAAATATCTATTCTAACTTTCAACTATTGTAGAATGGTGTGCTTTAACTATGAAGGATAATGTTCCAAAATTATTCACCTTCTTTAAAGTCTTAAAAGGCTTTATATATAAATACATCTACTCTTCACCATCTGATATTTCACATTTATAACTATAGTTTTTAAAAAGTTTGTTTTTAACTAATGCCAAGGTGTGAGTGATGTAAACTGTTACAGTTAGGCCTCGAACTGGCTGATGAAGCCACACTCCATTTTCATAAGGTTAAACCATGAAAACAGGAGAAATGGATATATTTGAAAATGGTCATAAACATGGACATTTCTCTACAACTCACACCTCTAAATGTTTATAAACTGTGAGTTAAAATATGTATATGAGATATAATCAAACAACAGGAGAAAGGTGAGAAGATTGATCATAAAATGGGTTGGAAACTTACAGTCAAGGTTAAAATTGCAGTACTGCCTTGGAATTAAAATTTTTACAAATTCTTGGGCAAAAGCCACAAGACATGGAGAATAGCCTAAATTCTGACCAAATAATGCTTTGAAAAGGAAGCTGATTCCCCCCACCCTCCAATTTGTGTATAAATTTGTCGAGGCAAACGACAACATACATGTCACATCTGATCAGGAGAGAGGCTTATCATTAATGTCTGGTGCCAAATCAAATAAAAATGTGGTAGAGAGTCTTTAAAGATACCCAAAGTAAATTTAACTGTTAAAAATTGAGTATTAAGGGTGTATTACAGCTGTGTAATAACAAACAGAAAAGGTATCTCTGTGTGTTGGTGTGTTTTTTTTAAAAAACTATACAGACAGTCACACTCTATTTGGTAACCTTCTATATTACTCTCACTCAATTCTGTTAGGTTCAAATACAAATAAAACCATTTAGACTAATGTGGCAACTTTGAATCAAAGAAGTCAGTGCAAGATTCCTACCTGTGCGAGGCTCCACTGAGGCTGCTGAGCTTGGGGCAGACCAAACTTACTTTGGGAGGCACCCATCTGTCCCACCATTCCTCCTTGGGGCCCGACCACATTTTGAGGCAGTGGCATCACACCAGTTTGTGCATTTCCCATAAACCCATTGGGCATGGGCATGCCCACCATCATGTTTGCACTCTGTCCCATTACGTTTCCCATAAGACCAGGAGCTGCAGGCACAGGTACTCCCATGGATGGAAAACCCTGAAATGCAGTCGGCGCTTGTGAGGTAAATGGTATATTTGTGGGTCCCATAAACACACCTGCAACATAAGAATCATGAAAATGAAAACTTGCCTCCACAATCACAGCGAAAAGTTTCTCTTTTAACTATATAGGGCAAAAATTCATTCTAGTACAGCTGTTCCTACTGTTCAGACAAATCATACCTAAACCCTGATAACTGGCTATTTTCAGAATGCACATTAATCAATTCTACCCACTCCTCACTTAATGAAATGCTTAAGCTCTAAAGACCTGGGTTCTATTATGCAAAAATGGTGTTACATAAAACTTCAGTGAACACATGTGCTATAGACTCCTAAGAGGCAGCCCTAGGAGGCTGTTTCCCTCCCTGGCAGTAAACAAACCAAGACTTTTCTACTTCAAGCTGGTGAGCAGGATTTACATCAGATCACAACCCACTTAAGAGTTCTTGCTCTCCATGGGTGCACAAACAAGTGGACATCAGGGTCTGCAGTAAAGTAACTGTCACTGTTTCCTGTCTGTGTCACTGTGCTGCCTTCTCACAAGCCTGCAGCTCCAGCCGGGAGAAAAAAAGCTGGGATTAGGAAAAGCTGTGGAGCATGCATGCAGGTTAACAGCCCCAGTGTATATGGCCTTAGCTTTTCTTCACTGGCATCCAAGAATTGGGGGGGGTGGAAGAGGAAGGGACCCATTCAGGAGGAAGGCACTCATCCACATGGGTCTTAACTGGCTGTAAGGTGATTTAAGTTGATTACTAATTGTTGGATATTGAGAGTTAATTTAGGAGTAGGTGTATATGCCTGAATACTTAAGTAAAAAAATCTCATGTAATGGCCATACAAAATATCAGTTCTGAAGACCAAACTAGAGAGCATGAAATTTCATGCTGTTTCTGTTGACTTCTACCATTGCTTTTTCACTGTCAAATCCATTAGCGATTGTCTGCAGCTATGGTGTCAAAACCTCAGCTTAATTTTAGGGGAAATGGTCTGACAGGTATAAAACTATATAAACTATAATACATCATGAAAACTAGAAAATGTTTTAGAGCTTTTGCAAACCCCTAAGATAATTCAGACTGTTGATCTGCAGAGAAAATGTACTGTACCCAAAGTCTTGAACTTTATGCAAATTGACTTTCAATAATTCTTTAAAGATCATCCATGTCTTCTAAATTTGTAAAACCATATTAAGTGATATGCAAATAGCTTGTTATTTCTAAATAAAGTTTTGTGAATCCTGTAAGTATTTTTATATTCTAAGGCTTCATCATTTCCATTTCTTTGCTGGGTAAATGGCAACAACAGAAGTATCTAAATGACAGGACTGGGATACACTTATAGTAACACTGTACTGCAATTCACTGAAAACAGACTTCAGGAGTTAATTACCAGGAGTATTCTGCTGCTGAATGGTCCCTGTACCATACAGAGATAAAATGGAGTCTTTGGAGAGCTGTTTCTTTGTGGATTCTTCTGATTTTGTATTTGGCTCAGTAAATAGATCTAGATCCCCAGGTGTTACTGTAGACAAAGGGGCAGCTGCTGGTATAGTGGGTGTACCCTAAGACACATACAAAAAAAAAAAAAAGAAGCCATCAAATTATATAAAGTATATAGCTCACTTATTTCTTAAAATCCAAATTAAAATGGAAAAGGACATAAATAATTCACAAACTTACATAAAATATTATTTATGTTAAATGTTCAAAGTTTCTTAGATGGAATTTGTTAAAATGAAAGTGGTATCTCAAAACCCTGCCATAATGGATCATATTTACTTGGTCAGTAAACCTTTTCCGCCTAACTTGACCATAATGAATTCTAAAGCAAACATGAAGACCTGTGATGCCCAGACCTGCCCCTCCATATGCAGCTACTGCTATCCCAAAGGATAAAGAGCATGTCTTGTGCGATCTTGGGACTGCAAGAGGGCACTGCTATAGATGATGGGAAAAGTTTCGCTTTACAAAAGCATCACATCAGACTGCTTCAAATTTATCTAGGAATTAAGCATAATAAATTCCTCAGTCATAACCTATTTTAGGAATTCATAACATTTTGAGAAAGGGAACAAATGAATACAAATATATAGTATAAAAAAACAAAGATATTTTAGCATAACCTCCTGTATCCTGCCAACAAAGATGATTATACAACATTGATAATTCCACTTAATGATCTTTGAAGTCATTATTCAGTCATAAGCATACTTAGCTTATATATGTAACATGTAAAGAGTTACAAGCAATTATGAAACTCATAAGATTAGTGGAAACTGGCTAAGCCTTTCTCAAATTATAGAACAGAGTAAGGAGCAAGCCAGAAGTTGAAGATTATGTGTCGTAGGATAGCCTCAGGATGAAAGGTCACTCGCTAATGCCTGTCATCTTCCCTTCAGTCACTGCAGAGTGTCCAGACAATGGGGTTCTCTGGCCCCTTGGGACCTGAGGACCAAATGAGAGAAGAGCCACAGCTGTTGGGGGAGGGGAGTGTTTATATACTGTTTAGGAAAGGGGCCTCCGTATGATCAATGGAAGCTCTTCTGGAAGTGGTCCATACACCCTTAATATTCATGTACCCATCTGTCAGCTAAGCAATCCTACTCTCCTTAGTAGGCAGCATAATTCAGCTCATATTCATGGGTGGGGAAACCTTTTATTACAACTTAGTATGCTCTTAAACTCATTCTTTCTCTCTCAGTTTTATCTGAACTCTACAATCCTGATGTATAAGCTATTTGAGTTCAATTTTGCATAATAAAAAACAGAAGTAAATGATTTAGTAGCCATATATGAATAAATTTCAGTTCTGCTGCACACCCAAACCCACAGTCCAATGGATCACTTTTATATGGCCTTTCTAGACATGCTTTTTTAACTCCTACCAAATGACTAGGTGGGGTTATGTAAATAAGGGGCTGTGGCCCACCATAAGGGGATTGGACAGCTTGCTGATAATGTAAATAAAGGTACGAGGCATCCTATGTAGGTGGGAGTATGCAAATAAGGTATATGGGACCATAATAAGGGAACAAGTCAGTTTTGACATCTTGCGCAGCTTAAAATGAGCCATCCAAGAGGTATAAAAAGAGGACCTCACTACCACCAAGAAAAAAGGGGAGAGAAACCCATTCTTTAAACCCAAGGTCCATGCTGAGAAACTCTCAGACTGAAGAGAAACAAAGAAAATAAGCTGTAACACTAGAAATGATGCTAAATGCTGAGAAGTGGTTAGCAGAACCAGGAACCTGGCATAAGACGATGCAGTCCATTTCCTGGCCCAGGGAGCTAGGTGGTTACATGAATGTGACAGTTCAGAGCGGAGTGCAGTTGGCTTCCCAGTTGAGTCGGATACCTGTGGGCAACTTGTCAGCAGAGCTAGGCTTCCTGACCAGAGAGCTGAGCACCTTTGGCTAAGGCTCTGGCAGAGTAGGATACCACAGACACTTGTTAGTGGAGCCAAAGAGTTTTGCAAAACTTGCCTGAGCAGAGCAAAAGCCAGACATTATTTTGAATTGAGAAGGGAAGACAAAAGGATCTGGATTTTAAGTACTATATGTAGTTTATTTAAAATAAAAAAAGCTAACTGTTCACCAAATATTTTCTTTTCCAGGGCTCAATATAAGTTTCACAATTCTAGCTTAAATACAATGTTCCAAAATAAGATGTGATTTTAAAGATTAAACATTTTTTCCTATTAATCATGGATCAGCATGCACAAATTATGTTGGCCAGACCAACCCCTCATAAAACCAGCAGACACATGCTCACCCTTACCCTGGCATAATGGTCTTTACAGTTGAATGAACTGTACATTAATCTATTTGCTGCTTTGATATGGAAAGAAAAATAAAACCACAACAACCACCACCAAAAAAACCCCCAAAAATCCGTGAACTGCACTAAAGCCTCAGATTTGTCTAATTCTCCAGGCAGTTAAAAAGGAACTTTCATACTCCCATGGAATCTAAAGTTGTTTAGAAGACAGAACAGCCTCACTAGACTGCTAAGTGAAATAAATTGTTCTTCATGCTCAGATTGTCAAATACCCTTTTTTGGGGAGGATAGGTGTTTTGGTTTTTTACTGAGACATACATACATGTGCCTGAACAAATTTACAAGGTATTCACGATATTTAATATTAACTGAAACACTAACAACCTTGAGTTCTTACCTGAGCTGGAGGCAGGACAGTTGTGGGTAAGGGATTAGAAATCATTGGCCCAAAGATGTCCAGATCATCACTGAGGGCTGGCATCATGGCTGCGTTCCCATTGGTTACTGGTGCCTCAGCAGGGCCATCTGTAAAGAATATAAATTTCTATTTTAAAACAAACTCTTTTCAGTGATTTGAAACTTAATCTTAAAAGCAAAATACAGTTGGAAAGAAAAGGTTGACACAATGGGGGAGGGTTGGGAGGGGAGAGTAGTGAAACAATGAATGAGTGGAAATCCAAAGTCTCTAAGTTTTCATTGAAATTAATAATAATTTTATTAAAAAGGAAATGCTTTTTAATTTCTAAGAATACTTTATATCCAAACCCTCTCTTTTGAAATAAATGGTAGAATAATATTTACATTATTCTGCATCTTTTTTTTGTATTATAGAAACTTTTAAAGTGCTTCCTAAATACTGGGCACTGTTACATGCATTTTACATGAACTACCATTTAATCACTCTTTAGAAACACACTACCACTTACAGATGAGGTGAGGGACCAAAGAGGGAGGAAACCATGTTCTTACACGTAATGATCCTTTAATAAATGTGTGTATACATATGGACATGTGTGATTTAATGATCCCTTCATACCTAGTTTTTAAGTAAAATTTTATTTAAAATGCTTAAATTGTTGTATTTTGAAGTCACAAAATAAAGAAGAAATAAAAGGATCAAAAAACAATCAACATACAATTTAAACTGGTTTAAGGAAGCCTGCTACTGTGGATAAGTGCTCAACTGCTAATCCCTTTGTTGGCAGTTCAAACCCACTAGCTGCTACTTATGGAACAAAGATGTTGCCATGAAGACTGGAAACCCTGTGCGGCAGTTCTGCTCTGTCCTGCAGGGTTGCAATGAGTTGGAAAATCTTGACTACAATGGATGTATATTATAACACGGATCCATAATATCCAAGTAATCATTTGCTCTTTATTCAAGCACTAGTACCTTCAATGGTGGCAATACCAAGCCACTGAGGTCTACAGGGACAGGGTCCCCAAGATTTCCGCTTCTGTCTGGAAAAAAATTCATTGTGTCATCTTTTTTACTTACTATGGCAGAATTTACAAGGTTTATGAGGATAAAAGTAGAGAACAGTATACCAAGAGTTACTGTGAGTGGATTATCAGGCAAAATTCACTCTTCAGTAGCTATACGAAATCACACTTCAGGCCACTGCAGCTTCAATCCCCTGGAGTATATGTTCTAACAACTTAAGTTCTTGCTTGCTCTCTTTATAGAACATGCCTATAGTCCTCAAAGGAACACGTGTCATCTGTTTAGTCTCTTTAATATTAATGAGCCGTCTTCGCATAAAGTATATATTCAAACATTTGACAAATTTAATGGACAATTTTACAACATACACGGGATTCTAGGTTCCCTTTGCTTTTCAAACTATTACTACACTCGTTTTTTCATTTTCTTTTTCAACTTAACCTTCAGTGAATCACAAAGAATTATCATTCATACTAGAGTAAACATTTCATAATTTGTAAAATAGTTTGAAATTTAAATTAGGTTAATTACATTTGTAAAGGCATAAAAATAATGTATTTACTACCTTTTTATTATTATATGTATTATTATATAAATTATTGTGGCAATCTTAAGGAAAAACAGAATGCACAGATTACTGCAAACTTCTAAAATTTGCAGCTTCTGACAGTGTGCGGATGTTGCAGTGCTGGACCCTGTTTCTGTTATCTCCTGCACAAATGGGCTTCGAGGCTTAGGGGTTTTTTTCCTCCCTCCCGGTGTCTTGCCACCCATGATCGCACGGAGGCCCGAGGGGTCGCTGCCGAGATTTCCACCAAGCCACAAACAAAAGTATGGCGGCCATCCCCTCCAGTGGCTCGCTTGTGGCCACCCACGACTACTACCGGTGCCGTCTGGGATCCACTTCCAGTAACAGCTTCTGTGGAAGCGCTGAGTGCCCAGAGGAAGCCATTCTCCACCACCCAGGGTTTCCCAAGGCTGATCAGGGCCACTGGTGGGCCAGCTTCTTTTTCGGGAAGACCAGTGTCCCATTCATGGCCACTGTGTTGGAGTCCCCAGAGCGCTTGGGACCCCAGGCCTCTGGCAATGTGCTCGCCTGTGACCTGGCCCAGGGCAATCACCATGTCAAACCACTTCATAGAGAGTATTCCTCTCCTTCACTGACCCTCTACCCTTCCCAGCATCATGTCCTTCTCCAAGAAATAGCCCCTTCTAGCAACATGCCCAAAGTATGTGAGGTGAAGCCTCATCATTTTTGCCTCCAAAGAACACTCTGGCTGTACCATCTCCAAGACAGATCTGCTTGTTCTCTTGGCCATTCATGGGATGTTCAGTGCTCTTTTCCAACACCACAGTTCAAAGGTGTTAATTTTTTTCCTGTCATCCTTATTCATGATCCAGCTCTCAGATGCATAATAAGTAATCAGAAAGACTATGGCTTGAATCAGACTAGGTAGGACTTTGCAAATGTGGGTATTTGTAGTCCACCAAAAGAATGGGATCTTGCTAATAATGTCAATGAAATATTCGTGAGATGGGATCATGCAAACGAGATACAGGGAACCTCATCATAGCAAAGGAGAGTTTTCATGGCACAGTTTGTGGTGAATTGTACAGCAAGTCTCTGGTGGTTTGAATTCACCAGCAGCTCTGAGTGTAAAACAGGCAATCTCCTGTTTGTTTATTTTTTGAAATTTGGGCTTCGTAACCAACTAGCATGGTTAATACAGCTATCATGACAGTCAACTCACAGTGGAAGTCTGAGTGGCCTTGAAAACTCTTCAGCGTGACACGGTGGAAGCACCTTCTCCCAAGGTCAAGCAGGGCTCTGCTTGGCAGAGCCTGTCTCTAGTCTCACATTCACAAAATAACTAGCCTTGCTTCCCTCTCCCCCATGATTCATTAACAATGGTTTCTGGCATTCACCTCCATCTAATTTCCTTGTTACTATAAAAGTTTAGCATCCACAGAATTGTTAAAAAGCAAATTCTTACATAGGTGAATACTTCTCAACACTGCAAGTTCAATGTTTTAAACTAATAATTTTTTAAATTGGTTTCAGTGCTTGCTACTTTTATTTATTACACATGGCTTGCTAAAAACATTTTTTCATTTTTCCCCCCATCCATTTTGAAGAACTTCTAAGTTTTTCATTTTCTGTATTTAAAATTTACAGTTAAGATTTAATATCATAATGTACATCCATTTATACTGGACATTTAAAAAGAATGTTTAGTCACAGAAATTAGGTGCACAAAGATGAAGACTTGCTCGCTGCCATTCCCTTTGTTAGGTAGAAAACTGCACTGCACACTCTCTTAACTCCTGCCTTAGTGATCTTTCCTTTAAACAAAATTTCACCAAAAGCCATTTAATTATAACTGTACCTAATGACAAAAGAATCACTTAACAAATTTAAAATTAAAATGCAGGTTCAAAATAGGTTCTAATTATTACATGGCGTTAGAGAAGCAGCAATACAAACTAAACGGAGCAAAAATCATTCACTGTCGCATGACACCTCCTCATTTTCCTGCTTCCTTTGCACAAAGCCCAGTGTCTTCTCAATTTGGAGTGAAGGAGACAGGCTGACATGGTCATCAAGAAGCACACTGGGCAAGGGAAGCAAATGTTGGATATAATTAACTCTGAGTCAATACAGAACATTCACCTGTCACTGGGTGCATCATTTTAATCAAGGCCTCACTAATAGTACTGTCTAAGCAACAGAATGCTAAGATGTTGAAAACTGTATGCAGCTTTTCAGATTTAAAAAAAAATGGCATATTCAGAGTCAGTAATTTAAATGGGGTAAATTACCAAAATTTAAGGAAAAAATATTGCAACCAATATGTGATGGGCTTTGCTTTGTTTGTTTACACATATGCACACACCCAACCAGACAAATGGGAACCTCCTTTTCCAGGGTGGAAGGAACCTCAGACCAACTTACACAGTATATTCTCTGAGACAGATGGATTTCTGCAGACAAGTCATTAGAATTCACCATGGGCATACACCTTGGTGTGGTGGTTCTTTGCTCAGCCACACAATGATGGTTGAAAGCAGTCAGCAGTAGCCCCCTTTAATCAGTATGCAGAAACAGTAGTTGGTGGACAATAAAAATAATGGGAGATTCAGAAAAGCCTAAGGCAAAAGGAAGAAATTTAGCTGGGACAACATTATAAAGAATGATAATGAAGCACAAAGGACCCCTTGAAAAGTCAGTGAGCAAACAGAAGAAATTAGGACAATGCAGTAAAATAAAAACAGGATTTAAACTTAAAAGGCAAGGCACCAAACCTACAGTTGGAAGTTATAGACAGCTTTTCTTTCTACATTGCCATAAGATTTCAGGCTAACATGTTATCTGGGGAAAAAATTGGTAGATAAATGTTTTAAGCTATACTCATACCAGAAATGCTACCATTTACCAGAAGAGGTCTAAATGTTTTTATTTTGAGCTAAAGAAGAAAACTTGTTAAAATCAGTGCACATTTCACACAAACATAAGGCATGCCAGGATGTATTTACTGCTCACTGATAAATGTTTAGGAAGAAGGTAACATTTCAGACATGACAAAGTCTTGAAGGCCAGTGTTTATCATCTAGAGATCATCAAAATGGTGAATATACCAGTTCATAATTTTAACTGTTGCTCTACCACACAAGTTATCGGGCATTAATAATTCAAATGAGCAAAAATGTACAATACATGATAGACCTATTTAGTGCCTTTTTCTTGATCCGTTTCAAGTGTCACTGAATGACAACTTAAGAGCTGTAATGAATGGAAATGCATCCTGCATAAACATCAGTTAAATTAGCTAGGTCATGATTATCAGTAAAATGTAATTATCCTATTTAGTATAAAACCTAACCTTGAAAAAGGGTGAAACCGTCTCTCTCATATACTTTGGGTATGTTGTCAGAAGGCCACAATCCTTTGGGGAGGGGACCCCAAAAGCAACCTGCCTGGAAAAGCAGGGGATCATGAAAGAAAGGAGAGCTGGAGAATGAAGAAGGATGACAGAAGAACTGATGCCTTTGAATTGTGTTGGGAGAAGCGTACTGAATATCC